GGGAATGTTCGTTATTGGTCTGCAAAAATGTTGGTAATGCCCATCAAGTTCTCTTCCAATAGCAGATGTCTAATCAGTCAGTTGATGTGACTAAAAGAAAAAAAAAAGCACTAAAGCTGATTATATTGAATGGCTTCTGGAAACCAGTCTCATTTTCTTACTGTGCCATCACATCAGACAGGGACACAAATTATTACAATTCAAAGAAGAGGCCATAAAAGGAGCATAAAGAGCTGGGGGTGGGGGGGAGGGGAAGACCAAAGGTCTGACATTTTTTATATCTAATTGGTGGGCTCAGCTCTTTAGAAAGATGACTCTTACAGCCATTCACAGGACAGAGGGGCAGAGGTAGAGGGCTGGAAGTGGTGAGAATCTGCGAGAACTGGGTTAGAGCCAGAAGAGCAGGAGTGGATGAAAAAGAGCTTCTGCACAGCAAAGAGGCTCAGAGAACTTTGGCTTCCAGTCTGAGTACACAGGAAAGATGGGAAACAATTCACCCAAACAAAGGAGGGGAACAGCATGGTTGAGGTAGGAAAGGATGATTTGGGTTTGGGATGTGCCAACCTGGAGCAGCACAGATTCCTAGGTAGAGAGAAGACCAGAAGGCAGGGACCTGGAGCCAGGTCAATCCGCCCTCTGTGTGGACACCTGCTGATGGAGCAGGAGGAAAGAGGCCATGATTCAAGGAGGGACCACAAGATGGCCCAAAATCTGGGTCACCAGCTCGAGGATGGAGAGAGAGGGGAAGGCAGACTGAGAGGGGGCGCATTGTGGTGTAGGACAGCAGGTCCCGACGGCCTGCGTGAGCACGTCCCCTAAGGGCTGATTCACACACAGGACAGGGCTCTGCCTCAGAGTCCCTGATTCAGCAGGTCTGGACAGGGAGCCTAGAATTCGCATTTCTAACCAGTTCTGACGTGCTGGCCTGCGTTCCACCCTTTGTAAACTGCTGGTGTACAGAAAGCAGTACAGATGGGCTTTGGATTCAGAAAAACATGATGCCAGGTTCCAGCTCGGTTGCCTCACCTAGCTTCCCTGGAAGCTTCCATTTTCTCAGGTGGAAAATGAAGAAATAACCTACTTACCTTAAAGAGTAAAGGGTATGAGTGTATAGAGCCTCCTAAGAGAGCCTGGTATGTAGCTGGAGCTCCGAGTGTGATCCTCAAGTTGGGTAGGCAGGAAGAGGACAGGATGGCAGGTAGGTAAGATGACAGGTGGCTGGGTAGACAGTCACAGAGGCAGACACAAACCCACTAGTCGTGGGCAGGGAGACAAGAGATGACAAGAAGCACAAGGAAATCTGTGATGTAAAGAAGATGGAGCACAATAGCTCCCTGGTCCAAAGAGCGATCAGCCTAAGGTGCTTTTGTACCTGGCAACTGGCTTTGCCAGCAGAGTAACTGTTTAAAGATGTAGCTGGGGAGGGGCACCTGGGTGGCTAAGTGGGTTAAAGGTCTGACTCTTGATTTCAGCTCAGGTCATGGTCTCAGGGCCCTGGGATCAATCCCTGCATCTGGCTCTGTGCTCGGCGGGGAGTGTGCTTGAGATTCTCTCTCTCTCTCCTTCTCCCTCTGCCCGTCCTCCTGCTCATACATGGGCTCTCTCTGTCTCTCAAATAAAATCTTAAAAAAAAAAAAAATAAATCTGGGGAGCAAGAATAAACCTGGTTACTACACAGGATACAGTAAGTGGTGATAAATAAGACAAAGCACGATAATGCTTGAGCCTTGCCACCCAGGTTGTGGGTTGGTGCAATGATGACCACTGAAGACTCTTCTCAAAAGAAGACACACACTCTTAGTCTCAATGCTGGGGCCTCGCATGGCTCCAAGAATACACAATTGGCCAGGAAATGGGGGGAAGAGAAAAGAGGCAAATTCTATTGAAGGAAGGACCAGCTACATAGTTTTCAGATCTCAGTGCAAAATGAAAACACGGGGCCCTGGTTCAAAAAGTATTAGGAATGTCAAGCACATGTCAGTAGTGTCTTACCAAGGCCGGGCCCGTCCTCAGAGTGGAGCCCCGTGTGCACAGGTCATGCGCCAGTGAGACCCACCCAGGTATCACCCATCGTGCCCTGGTACACACACACTGGCCTATATTTGCAAACTCTGTAGCTCAGTTCACAGCTCTGGCAATCTCTTAGAATAAAAAGGAAAATATATTCTCTTCTGTCCCATTTAGAATCCTTTCAATGCAAACTGATGCAGCCCTTGGAGGTGTTTTGGGGGCTCCTACAACATTCTAAAACTCAAGGAAAGAGGATGATGCCATTATAAGGGACATGCCTTTGCTCCTGTGATCCAACAACAACCTGCCAGGGTCATGGAGGCATATGAGTTGGTGGACCTGGTTTGAATCCTGATCATGAAAAGTCAAAAGTCCCTTGTTTTGGGATCCATTTTTGATGAAGCACTTACCTCCATAGTGTTTATGTTGGCGGGTAAATCCACACTCAGTCCTGCTGGGAAAACTTCCTCTCCAAACTGACCGAGGCCGCCTGTCCACACATCCAGCAGTGTCTGTATTCGACACTAGGAGGCAGTGTTGTCTAGTTGTCTGTAGGCTGCACTATGAGGATTTTTTTTTTTCCCCTCTTAGTTCCATTTGCTAAAGGACTTTGAATCTTTATCTTAAAGAAGTGAGGGGACTGTCTTAATTGTCTACCTCACAGCAGTGGAAATGTATGAGCTTTATGCAGGGACCCGCAAAAGAAAAATGTAAAGGTAATTTTGGCTGCAGGGTGCCCGGGTTAACTGGAACATAAATCATTCAACCTAACACTACAGGGTCAAACTCTAGTTTCAAGGATTTGAAAGAGATTCTCCTGTGAATAACTGTCCTGGAACTGAAGGAGAGCTTAGATTTTTTTTTTTCTTTTTCTAAACTAAACTTGCTTTGCAATGATGCTCACGACACTGGCTTTGACCAGAGGAATTTCCTGTTTGATTCCTATGCCCCAAGGCTTACCAGCTTTCCTTTGTTGGCAAGACAAAATAGAATTGATACCTACTATCTTCTTACAGGATCTTAAAGGAGGTAGTTCATATGCACGAGTAATTATAGGTGATAGTGTGTTTAAAGAGATGATATGAACAGTACCACCCACAACCAAGGGTTTCTAGGTGGGGTAGGGAGAGATCCCTTCACCCAGGAATAATCTGACTTCACGAAAGGACGGCACTTCACAGAGGCCTTTCTCAGAGGAAACAGAACAAAAGTAGGAAAGCACAAGTCGGGTTCAGGTCCAGCTCTGCAGGATACGTCTTCCAGAAGGATAAGTGATGAGTCCTTGGTAAGCAAATACGGAGTTTAACAGGTGCCTTTTAAAGAGCCAGTCCAGATTTTTAGAAAAGAGCTGAAAAATGTCTTATGGGAAGATCTATAGAAGAGAATGAATGAAATATGAGCAAAGAAGCACTTAAAAAAAAGTCACCCCAAAATACAGCTGAGTCAGGTGAGGAGGCCTCAGGCTGTTTGCCTGTGAATTCTCACTCCCTGGCATTGAGCTGTGTGACTTTGGGCAAGCTAGTAGTCAACCCTTCTGAGCCTGTGTCTCATCTGTAACATGGGGTTAATGAGAGCATGAGCCTCATAGGGTTACATATCACATAAATCAGCTACAGAAGGCACCTGTACGGTGGCAGCACTGTGTACTCGTCACTGATGAAGATGATGGCACTCTGAGGAAATTGTGGCTCAACTAGATCACAACTACCCAGAGGTAAATCTGAACAAACTGTAGTCTTATGACTCTGATACAGGGTTCTTCTTCCTTACACGTACAAAAAAAAAATCCAAAGTCCTTCCGTCCCCAAATATCTCCTGCAATCTTGTATTTTCACCTTTATGTTAAAGCACCAATAGTTTCAGAAATATAGTAGTCTCAGTAGTAGCTCCATTTTCATGACTTTGAGGAAGAAAGCCTAATTTGTGACTACAGTTAACTGATTTCCAATTAATAAAGATTTTATTTAGCTGGGGATTTCAACGCCTTTCCGTCGAATTCATTGTTTTCATTTCAATAAGTAAATTTGATAGTATCTATAAACATGCTATACAATAAAATGTATTTAAACTTTTTTCTGGGCAGCCCGGGTGGCTCAGCGGTTTAGTGCTGCCATCAGGCCAGGGCGTGATCCTGGAGTCCCGGGATTGAGTCCCACGTCGGGCTCCCTGCATGGAGCCTGCTTCTCCCTCTGCCTGTGTCTCTGCCTCTCTCTCTCTGTGTCTCTCATAAATAAATAAAATCTTTAAAAAATAAATATAAATAAATAAACTTTTTTCTACTTTAGGAGACATAGTGTATACATTTTTATTTGTATTATTTTCTTTAAAGATTTATTCATTTATTTTAGGGTAAAACAGAGAGAGAATGAGGACAAGCCAGGGAGGGGCAAAGGGAGAGGGAGAGAAAGAATCTTAAGCAGACTCCCTGCTGAGTGTGGCACCCAACAGGGCACTAGATCCCAGACCCTGAGATTATGACCTGAGCCAAAATCAAGAGTCAGCTGCTTCATCGACTAAGCCACCCAGCCACCCCGTCTATACATTTTTTATTATTATTATTATCTTGGGGATGCCTGAGTGGCTCAGCGGTTGAGCATCTGGCTTTAGCTCAAGGCATGATCCCAGATCTTGGGATTGAGTCCTGCATCGGGCCCCCCACAGGGAGTCTGCTTCTCCCTCTGCCCAGGTCTCTGCCTCTCTCTGTGTGTCTCTCATGAATAAATAGAATCTTTAAAAAAAAAAAAAAGTTATCCTGATTTTTAAAGTCTACTTTGGTAGGTGCAAAAAAAACCAAATCATATAAATGTCTTATTTAGGCAAGTAAAATTAAGATAATTGAGATGCATAAAGTCTTCGGGACATAACCACATATAACCAAATGCTATAACAGCAATAATGATTCCATATAATGGCATAATAATGCTATAAGAACAGGAACAAACCAATCATCCTTTCACCAGAAGTGATTAACTGGTTTTATTTAACCCAAAGCAAGCTTACTATTCTGGATGTTTTCACTGGCAAGGAATAAGTAAAATTATTTTTAATTCTACGATGCCATAGGAGAAATAAAGATACTCAAAATACTTTGGCGGGTGCTGGGAGAGAGAAGAGCACTGTCTTGAAGCCCTTGCAGAACCATCACTGCATGGAAGAGTTCCACTCATTCCGTGAAGTTCTAGAAGCCAAGACAAGGACTAAACAATTTGAAATGATATAAGTTCCAGTTCAGGGGATCCCTGGGTGGCGCAGCAGCTTGGCGCCTGCCTTTGGCCCAGGGCGTGATCCTGGAGACCGGGGATCGAATCCCACGTCGGGCTCCCGGTGTATGGAGCCTGCTTCTCCCTCTGCCTGTGTCTCTGCCTCTCTCTCTCTCTCACTGTGTGCCTATCATAAATAAATAAAAAACAAAAAAAATTTAAAAAAAAAGTTCCAGTTCAATTTAGGCACAACTTTCTGTCCATTAGAGTGCTCAAAATGGAACTTAACATGAAATTATGTTCTTATTCAGATTACATAAAAAGTATGTGTGTGGGGCTGTCTGAAGGAAGGGTACAACAATCATATAAATATGTGTACAAAACCCTCCAGGTACAATGTTTGCCACAGTGAAGGGCACTGAAAAGACAGAGAATTATCCTCTCAGCATACTCTTTTGTTCTGCATGTGTTTTCATGTGTAATAAAATGAGAATAAAAGGAATGCCTCAGTAATTTTTCTAATTCTGATGGTGGTTGGGCACAATCTTGTGGACCAGTTGATAGGATTGCTTTGAAAAGAATTCTTGCTTTGGGTGAGGACCTGTTCATGACAAAATTCCAAGTTCCATTCCAATTTAGAGATCTATGAACAGGTTAGAGTGGTGGAGGTAGATGAGGCAGGTGAGCCAGAGACAGTGGGGAGGACTTCATGCACTACATTTCTTCCCAGGTTCCATGAAAGAAGGGGTGTTAGCCTTCCAGGTGTGCACCAATGCAGAATCATTGATGGTTACCAGAAGCAGAGGGATGCTTGCAACATAGTCTTGATTTTTCTCCTTATACTTTTCTGCTTGTATATTTAATCTCTTAGCTTCACATCAGCACAGTGGCAGATAGTATCAACAACCATTATCTCTGCTCTGAGGTAGTTATCAACCTGGGAGAGAAACAGGATCAACTCTGGGGAAATACCACCTGGGCTTTGCTCCTAGAGGCTGTAATTGCCTCTGTAAGGAGAGGTATAAAATTCCACTTCCCTCTGCCACAGAAACCAGAGTGAAATTCTCTTCCCTTGCATTCCTCTGGGCTCCATTGAGAATAAGGCTGGCTCTGGACAAGAAGGAAATGAAAGCAGATTGTCCCAGTTACAATGTCTCACTGGATCCTTCCAGCTGCCACTGCCCTAGCCAGTTCTGCTGACCTCCCTCGGGCACTGTGGCCGGTTGACTGCCAACACCATCTTGCTTCCTCTGCTCGTGTTCACTCTGGCCCAACCTGGCCCAGGCTTTGACATATTTAGTATTGATCACTGACTTAGCTATAGCCTTTCTTAAGAGGTCATCTCCTTGCTTGCACCTTTAACCCAGTGTCCCCTACACCCCTGGTATGACATATGGTATGTACAACCCCAGGTCATTGAGGAAGGAAAAATACGTTTGGTCCTCTTTGAAGAAATACCTGATTGCTTTATGCTTTGCATAAAGAGAAGTTTGCTTCAGGTAACACATAACACATGAAAGCTGAGAATGGGATTGCCTTTTTAAAGGGAGAATGTCTGCTCAACCTAATTTGGGGAATGTTTCTCTTATCTCCATTGTTCAGGCTAACTATACAATTTGGGAACCAACCAGATCTTTTCCTTTATCTTGTTTAGTCACCTGCCTTGCCTCTCAGTTATTTAGAAAGTGCTTAATAGCATCTTCACTAATGAGTAAAGAAACAGTAAATGACATTTAAAAAAAATAAAAGCTTTTGTTTTGTTTTTACTATTAACTTATCTGGTAAGGATAAAATTTTAATAAGGATTGAATTCGATACCTTCTGCAAATGGTAGACTGGATAATGAGGAATAACTCCTCCACTGAGAACAATTAGAAAAGCTGCTCAAAATATAGAAATAATTTGTTTGAAGGCATTAGGGGAATTAACAACACAGTAAAAAAAATTACAGGGCTGGCATCTAGAGAAGAATTAAACCCAAGGAGTGACATCCAGCATTAGGTCTACTCTTCCCCCAAGGCACCCGCCTTACTAAAAAAAGTAACTGAAAGATTGAAAAGCTCAGCAGATATTTTAATAGCTTTGTGAGGGAGATCTCTGAGGGGGAGTGCTAGAGAAACACACACACACACACACACACACCACTGTGGGTTGGGAAATTCAAGGAGCAGATCCCAGAAATCAGGATGAACTGAAGCTCAGCTTCCAATTATCTTAAGGCCTCTATTGAATTAACCTGATCTGGAATTCCTGGTATCCCTAGCCACCTGCCAAAAGCAAATACAAATCTTCTCTAGCAAAAGATAACATTATATCAGATTTAAATTATTTCTTTAATAATCAATATACAATGTTCTTGTACACAACAAAAAAGAAATAGGTTTATGAGGAGTCAAGTCAGCTGAAACCTAGAGAAACAAAAAACAATAGAAATATACCCATAAGGATCAAAATAGTGGAGTTCTTCTTATTCAGAGGTGTTAAAATAACTATGCTGATTATGTTCCAAGAGACGAAAAACAACTCAAAAGAGCATTGGAAACTATAAGGCAGAACTAAATGAGAGTTATAGAATTAAAAAAGTAATAACTTTGGTTATTATTATAAGAATTCAGTATATGCATTTAACCTCATATTAGACACAGCTAACAAGAGAATAAATTAGAAAGAGATCAGGAAAAAAATATCTAGCATGAAGCCTTGAGAGAAAAGGTAAGAAACCATAGAAGAGGAAGTAAGAGGGAACCCTGGGTGGCCCAGCGGTTTAGCGCCTGCCTTTGGCCCAGGGCGCGATCCTGGAGACCCGGGATCGAATCCCACATTGGGCTCCTGGTACATGGAGCCTGCTTCTCCCTCTGCCTATGTCTCTGCCTCTCTCTCTCTCTCTCTGACTATCATAAATAAATAAAAATTAAAAAAAAAGAAGAGGAAGTAAGAGGAAGAGGCAGAAGGGATTAAAATGTCTAGATAGAGTACCAAGAGAGAAAAGAGAATGGGGATGAAGCAATATTTGAAGAGATAATGGTAAAGAATGTTCCAAAATTGATGAAAGATATGAAGCTACAGATACCATCATCCCAATGAGCCGCAAGCAAGATAAATACAAAGAAAAATTTCCACGTAGATACATCACAGTAGAACTTCTTGGAAACCAAAAACAAAGAGGAAAATACACAAGTGCAGCCAGAGGAAAAGACGCTTTCAAAAGAATAACACTAAGACTGGTGGCAGAATTCTCAATAGAAACAACAGAATCCAGAAGATAAGAAATATCTTTGAAGTGGTTAAAAAAAAAAAAAGATTTAGAAACTACTTGATAAAAAGCAACCTTACTAATTCATTCAACAGTACATATCATGCATCCATTGTGTGCCAGGGACTCTGTTAGACAATGGGCGTATAGCAATGAAAAGGCACACTGCTTAATTCAAGAAGCTCAATAATGGTACTCAACCCTTTGCTCAACAGCTTTCCACACTTGAGCTACATAACATATTTCCAGCATTAATGGGGGGGGTCCTCACAGAGCAACTTGAAGAAGGTGGGGATTCAAAGGTACACATCAGAACTTGAAGGTGTGTGTCATTTTAAAAGCATCTCCCAAATGATATAATACTCTCCCTTAATCCCCTACAGGACGTTAGATGTATTGAGAGAGAAGGTGTAAATATTTGCACTGTAATAAAGTAAAGCCATGATCAGTTACCTAACCCAATCATTTAACATTGTGCTATGAGTACAATGATAAATAAATCCTATTTCCTGACTTCAAGATGCTTACAGGTCAATGGGAGAGACAGCCAAGAGAAATCACTAATTACTACACAGGGTTTATTATTTAAATATTCTTTGGGAAACAGAATGGTACGAGCATGATCTCTCTCTGTTTCACTATGTTCTTATAAAGATTAAGTGAGCATATGCAAAACATTTAGTACCATACAGCGCTTGGAATTTTAAGTAACTGTGAGTAAATATTGGCTATTTGATTACAAGTGCCAGAATTCAACTTTATGTCAAATAAGCAAAAAAGGTGGGATTTTTCTAAAGACACAGGCATATACCAAGAAACTTAAAGACAACAGGGCCACAGGAAAGGATCCAAATGAAATGAAGAAAATTAGTAGAAATGGGCAAAGTACCATCTCTCCTCTTTCCTCTCTACTTTCTGCATTCATTTGGCTATCCTTCTGAAGCCTGGTCTTCTCTTTTCCAGTAAAAAGGCCAACTGTGGCCACCCCCTAACTCCTGAATTTATGGTCTGTGGTCCAGCCATATACAGGGACTGCTGACAGTTTTACAAATGCCAATTCTAAAACTCCCGATTATGACAGACACTCACTTATGATACAATTAGTTTGGGGGGAGAGGTGAGGCCAGTGATACAAAGATGATTGGAGGGACGCTCGGGTGGCTCAGCGATTGAGCATCTGCCTTCAGCCCAGGGTGTGATCCTGGAGTCCCCGGATCAAGTCCCACATAGGGCTGCTTCTCCCTCTGCCTGTGCCTCTGCCTTTCTCTATGTCTCTCATGAATAAATAAATAAATATTTTTAAAAAGAAACATAATTGGATAAAAAATAAATAATATAGCCCTTTTCATATTCTTTTCTATGCCTTCAATTAAATACTACATATGGTAAGCTAAGTATATTCTTCATAATTGATGAATGCAGCTCAGTGATGTGAGCTAGTCAAGCTTCCCTTCTTCCAGCATATCTAGAAAGTAAGACTTTGTTTTAGAAGTATGTAACAGATCCTTGGTAACTAGAATTTATAATGGATGGTCATGTGCAAGATTCTTCCAGACGCCCTATAGGCATGAGATGATATGAACAGTGGTCTTGGTCTGTGAAGCTAGGAGGGGGATATGGTATGGTATGCATGGATGCCTGGACAGAATGGGTGAAATGAGATAAAGAGAGAGGATGGCTAGGCCTATGTTCCCAGTTGCTATTGACTGAGGGGTAAGGTCTCAAAGTGGAAGAAACATATTTCCAAAAAGCTCTGGCTGGTAGAAGTCTGGATGACAGCTGCATGGCTCTGAGTTCCAGCTGAGAGACTACAACACAAGACTGGTGGGAAGTCTATCCAACATAGTCTGTACATTTGCCCTCTGAGGGTTCAGTGTAAACATCTGCAGAGGACAGCTGGGTCCAGTCAAATCATTGTTCAACCAGGGCACCAATAGCAAGCCAGGATAAGATCCTTGACAAGAAAACTGCACAGAAGAACCTAACTGGGACCCATTTCTTTTTTTTTTTTTTTAAGACTTTATTTATTCATAGAGACACACACACACACACACACAGAGAGAGAGAGAGAGAGAGAGAGAGAGAGAGAGAGGCAGAGACACAGGCAGAGGGAGAAGCGGGCTCCATGCAGGGAGCCCGACGTAGAACTCGATTCCGGGTCTCCAGGATCATGCCTCAGGCCACAGGCGGTGCTAAACCGCTGCGCCACTGGGGCTGCCCCTGGGACCCATTTCTCAGGATATGACACAAACCGAATGGATCCCAGAAATGCCTTGGGGTGTAGAAGGAAGGGATAAAAGAGGTTAAGCTATTTTCTGAGCATGAAAACTGAGGCTCATCCTGGGTTTATGGTATTCACGGTGTTCCTCAGTTACACCCTGAGCTGGGCCTGAGATCTTTGACACTAAATAAAAAGAAACAATTTTATGTATGAAACATTTGCAGACAGAGGTTACCCTTTTACATATGTAAAGTAAATCAAGTCTTAAAAAATCATCCTTTTTAAATTGGGTTATTAACTTTTTTGCTCTTGAGTTTTATGAGTTTTATTTTATTTTTTTAAGGAGAATTATTTATTTTTTTTTCAGAGAGAGAGAGAGAGAGAGGCAGGGACACAGGCAGAGAGAGAGAAGCAGGCTCCATGCAGGGAGCCTGACGTGGGCCTTGATCCTGGGTCTCCAGGATTACACCTCGGGCTGCAGGCAGCACTAAACCGCTATGCCACCGGGGCTGCCCAAGTTTTATGAATTTTTTGGAAATTTACCAATTTACCTACTACTTGATGGTATAGATATTTTCTTCCATCTTTAGGTTAACCTTCCATTTCATTGCTTGTTTTCTTTGTGGGGTGGAAAATTTTTAGTTTGATATAATCCTACTTGTCTATTTTTGTTTTTGTTGCCTGTGTTTTTGGTGTCATATCTAAGAAATCACTGCCAAGACCAATGTCATGAAGCTTTTAAAAAATGGGATAAATACTTGAATAGACATTTCTTCAAAGAAGATATACAAAAGGCCAATAGATTCATGAAAAGATGCTCAACATCATTCATCATCAGGGAAATGCATATCAAAATCACAATGAGATACCACCTCATACCTGTCAGAATGGCTGTTATCAAAAACTCCAAAGGATGATAAATGTTGGCAGGGATGTGGAGAAAGGGAACTCTTCTACTCTGGTGGGAATGCAAAATAGTGCTGCCACTCTGGAAAACAGTATGGAGAGTCCTCAAAAAACGAAAAATGGAACTACCATCTAATCTAGCAATCCCACTCCCAGGTATTTATACAAAGAATTTAAATCAGGATTTCAAAGAGTTATTAGCCCTCCAATGCTCACAGTAGTATTATTCACAGTAGTCAAGATGTAGAAATAATCTCAATGCCTGTTGGTAGATGAGTAAAGAAAACATGGCATGTACATACAATGGAATTTTTTTAAGATTTTATTTAAGAAAAAAAAGATTTTATTTTTAGGGGCACCTGGGTGGCTCAGTTAAGCATCTGACTCTTGGTTTCAGCTCAGGTCATGATTTCAGAGTCAAGAAATCAAGCTCTACTTCAGTTTAGCACTCAGTGGGGAGTCTGCTTGAGATTCTCTTTCCTTCTTCCTCTGTGCCTCCCCTTACTCCTTCTATATAATAAGATAAGATAAGATAAGATAAGATAGATAATAAAATAAAAAATAAAATAAAATAAAATAAAAAACTCATAGAGTCAGAGAGTAGAACATTGGTTTCTAGCGGCTACAGGGATTGGGATATGGGCAGCTTTTAATCAAGGGCCTAAAGTGTCAGTTATGCAAGATGGATAGATTCCTGAGCTCTGCTGTACAACATCATACACTTAAACATTTGTCGAGAGTAGATCTCATGTTGTGTTATAATAAATTTAAAAACGTATAAATGATACTTTTTCTTCAACGCATTTTGAAGTTTCTGTTTTCAACAGATTTTGTTAAAATTGGAAGGGAAGATTCTACCCTCAAAGAGGTTATAGTTTTACTGGAGAGACACCGAGGGGAATTTTTTTATGTAGCCAAGTACACTGTTTAAGGAGCAGTGAAACTGATGTCAACTATTCCTCTGGTTGCACTTCACATTTCATGACTCTAATCCATACTGTCACTGCACTTCCCAGTTTCAACTGACATCTTTGTGATGCACATTTTGGGTGAGGCCTAAGGACATTTAGAAATAGCTTAGTGCTGAGCATAAGCTGAATATAGTCCCAGAATTCCTGTGCTAATCAATTATTTATCCCTTACAAATGCTGAGATCAAAAATGAAGAAAAGTTATATATTCGAGCTTGACAGGAAAGCAGCAGGAACAAAATAGTTTTGAGTCTACAGTGGGTAAAAATGAGCTTCTCAGTTTAGCTTTACTTTATCTAAAACAAGGCAAAGAATTCTCCTTTGCTACTAGGAGTTAAAAAACAATTTATAAATTATAAGCAATATGTAATTTATATGAAACATTGCAGTCTTTTACCATGACTTACTGGGATTTTCTAATGTAACTATAAATATATTGTGATATTTCTCACACTTTACCCTTCATTTTTGTTTTAATATGGAGGTGATAAGATATACTAAATTGCTACTTCAAAAAGCATCTTTTCATCTATAAAATTCTCATCCTTGTACACATACATTTTTAACTAGGCTTTAGTTTTTACAAATACTGTTACATTTATAGGAAAATTGATAAGATAGAACAAAATGTACCTGGACCCATGTACCCAGGTACCTGACACCCTGTTTCAGCAATGATTACCATCTGTGGTATATTTGTTACACGTGATAAGCCAATATTAACACTTGTCTCCTGTTTCTTTTGTCTTTGGTTTTCTTCCAGCCTGTCTTCAGTGATGCTGGGCTCTCCCCTTGTGCTCACAGCCTCTGACCACACCCAGCTCTGCCTCTTGCTTTTCACCCCAACAGTATTATGCTCCCAATCTTTTCCGTTTCCATATATACAGCTCCCTTCTTCTCTGAGTGCTATGAAATAATCCCTGATGTGAAATACCATAATTATTAAATCAATCACCTATTTATAGACATTGGTATGATTTTACAAGCAAAGCTTCAGCACTTACCTGGCACATATTTCTTTATGTACGTGGGCTCATATTTCTAAAGGATGGCTTCTTGGAGGGGAATTGATAGGTTCGAGGGTATCGGCTGTACTCTTCTAAACCTTTTAGAAATAGAGGTTTCACAGTAGTGAACATTCTATCTGTCCGCTTTTACTTTTCTATGTTATTCATAAACTATTAAATGCTTGATCTAATCAAAATATATCAGGGGTGCCTGGATGGCTCAGTCAATTAAGCATCTGTCTTTGGCTCAGGTCATGATCCCAGGGTTCTGGGATCAAGCTCCACATCAGGCTACCTGTTGGGGGGAGGGCTACCTGCTGCTTCTCACTCTGCCCCTCCCCCTACTCATGCTACCTCACTTGTGTGCTCTCTTTTAAATAAATAAAAAATAAAAAAATATATATATATATATTAATGATAATTCCACTCTATGAGAGACTGACTCATTTTTAGAGCCATCTTCCTTTGGCCCTATTCACTTTTCCATTGTCTACCCACAAGTTATAGCTTTTTTCCCCCCCTCCACTGGAATTCTACTATTCTTAAGCCTGGGACCTATCTGACTAGACCCATGTTTCCTCTAAAATACAGTCACTTTCCATTGCTGCCTTTCCATGTGGTCAGAGTTAAGTTCTATATAGAGGTTCCTGTCATCTAACATTTAAATCTGAACACTTTAATCTCCAACAAAGGAGGGAAAGGATGTATCTGAGGCTCTGCTTTCAACAGAATGAGGCTTCTATCAGTGAGCAGATGGTTCAATCCTCTTTCTTTTTCCTGTGCTGGTTTTGCATTTCATTTTAGGAAAACATGACTCATTTTTTCTGTGTGGTCTGGTGGTTTGTGGTATCCTTGCCCTCCGACCAACCTCCAGCACCCTTCCTCTGTCCCTACTTTCCCGAACGCTTCCTGCCATCTTCCCCACTGGTGCGTGTGTCTCCACAGTAGGGGGACATGTTCTGAAGACAGCGCCAGTTCACCTCTGTGTTTTAATATATGTGGTTCTTTAATATATGTGAAAACAGAGTGTAGCCTCTTATTTCCTGGCTCATACCCTAAGTTTTATTTCCCTGATTTTCAGTGGTGTTTATAAGATCATTTTCCAGATCCATCTATTCAAAGTTCATTTTGTTTGGTACCCAGGCTCTGTACATGGCCATACCAACTGTTGCAGCAATATGGGTTTGTTTAGACCTGTTGTATCATCACCCCCTGAATTACTGAGACCAGTACTACCTCAGTTCTTGCTCCTGTATTACTGACTCTGGCCTGGACTTAAACCTGTTCCCCTCCTGCCTTCTCTCACTTCCTCACACAAAGCTTCACAACCATTAGTGACACATTCTAGCTTCCTTCTGGGCTTTTCAGCAATCGTGATTACCGAAAAATATACCTAAAGTTGAGTAGAAGGGCAATGGGCTCTGCATTTAAAGTCATCAACTGTAAGACTATCATGTCATTGTGAGGGATTTCCTTCTTCTGTTAGCCACTCCTCTTCTGTAATTAAAATGGCTTTTTAAAAAAAAAAAAAAGATTTTATTTATTTATTTATTTTAGAGACATGGGGAGAGAGAGAGAGAGAGAGAGCAGAAGGAGGAGCAGAGGGAAAGGGACAAGCTCAGAGCCTGACATGGAGCTCAAGCCCACAGCCCTGAGATCATGACCAGAGCTGGTCAAGAGTTGGATGCTTTACCAACTGAACCATCCAGGTGACCCTGGTTTCTATATTTTCATAGAACAGAAGTAAATGTTTAGTTGTGAGGCACATGCTTTGTTACATAATTTTTGTACATATTCCTAGGCATCTGTGCACATATTTTGAAATGTAATTATTAAATAATGATTCTGTTAAAATGAAATAGGAAACCTAGTCAAAGCAACCATTATAAGGAATTTTAGCCCTAAACCAGTGGTCAGTGTGCTATGATCTGAGGCTCCTGCAATCGCCAGGACATATCAGGGGTTCATGAGATCAACACTGTGTTCATAAAAATACTAAGATGTTATCTTCCTTTCTCTTTGTGTTGGCATTTGCACTGTGCTGACATCACAACAGACTGAATTCAGAAGCAGATAGGAGATTCTAGCTGTCATCTGATTAACCATTAAAGAGATTTGCAAAAAATGTAAAATGATGCTATTCTTTTCTCTAATTTTTTATTTAATTTAATTTAATTTTTAAAGATTTTATTTTTGTTAAATAATCTCAACACCCAGCATGGGGCTCAAACTCGCAACCCTGAGACCAAGGGTTGCATGCTCTACCAACTGAGCTAGCTGGGTGCCTCTCACTAATTTTTGATTTAACAAAATACTTTTTTTTTTATCTGTGCTCTTTTTTTAAATTTATTTATGATAGTCACAGAGAGAGAGAGAGAGAGAGAGACAGAGACACAGGCAGAGGGAGAAGCAGGCTCCATGCATAGGGAGCCCGACGTGGGATTCGATCCCGGGTCGCCAGGATCGCGCCCTGAGCCAAAGGCAGGTGCCAAACCGCTGCGCCACCCAGGGATCCCCAACAAAATACTTTTTTAAATAAAATGTGTTGGGGACACCTGGGTGGCTCAGTGGTTGAGCATTTGCCTTCGGCTCAGGGCATGATCCCAGGTCCTGGGACTGAGTCCCACATTGGGCTTCCTGCATGGAGCCTGCTTCTCCCTCTGCCTGTGACTCTGCCTCTCTCTGTGTTTCTCATGAATAAATAAATAAAATCTTAAAAACATATATATTACATAAAATATGTTGACATGTAACAGGTTAAATAAATAAATATATATATTTAATTTTCTCAACTTATAGTACAGCAATTACCATTAGATATATCCCATATAAATAGAAGTTTTTTTGGGATCCTTAATAATTTTTAAGAGTACAAAGTGTTCCTGAGCCCCAAAATTCTGAGAGCTGCTGCCCAAAAATGATTATTCAAATTCAGTCTGGATAGTTTTCTTGGAATTTCCTTTGACTTCTTTTTTTTTTTTTTTTTACCTAAAAAGGTGAGAGAATTCTATTTCCATCTTCACCTACATAACAGATTTTTATTATAACAACTCTTTTAATATATGACTATAAATATAAATGAAAAGGAAAATAAGAGAGGGCATTGGAAATCCTATTCTCTAAGACCCAAAAGAGACATACAGATGGGTAAAAAAGCAGTCTCTGAGAAATAAAAATTTCTTCTGGAATGAACTGAGGTCTGTGTAATTAATTGTCTGTAAAAATAATAAAACATTGGGGGACCTGGGTGGCTCAGTGGTTGAGTTGGCTTGGGTCGTGATCCCAGGGTCTTGAGATCAAGTCCCTCATCAGGCTCACCGTTGGGAGCCTGCTTCTCCCTCTGCCTATGTCTCTGCCTCTCTGTGTGTCTCTCGTGAATAAATAAATAAAATCCTTAAAATAGTAAGTTTGTAAATAAAGAAGATAATGTTGTCCTAGTCCATTCCCAACATCCACTTCTCTAAAAGTCTTAATCTCATAGTCTTTTTCAACAGCTTTCCTGAAAAACTCACATGCATACAGTTTACCTATTAAAGTGTATAGTTAAACGGCTCTTAGCTTATTCAATAGTTGTGCCTTCATTATACCATCAATTTTAGAACATTTTCGTTATTTCAAAAAGAAACCCAGTACTCATTAGCCATTATTCACCAACACTCCCCCATACCCTCCAACACTAGGCAACCAATAATCTGATTTTTTTTTAATTTTATTTATTTATTCATGAGAGACACACGGAGAGAGAGGCAGAGACACGGGCAGAGGGAGAAGCAGGCTCCATGCAGGGAGCCCGATGCGGGACTCGATCCAGGGACTCCAGGATCACACCCTGGGCCCAAGGCAGGCACTCAACCACTGAGCCACCCAGGTGCTCCACCTAAAGCTAATTTTTACACCTACACCCTCCATCTTCTCTAGGTCCTGACTCCATCAAGTAGTCTTCCTCTTTCTTTAACCAGTAGGTTTCCTAGTTCTTTCCTGCCAGCATTTAAAATGCCCCAGGCTTTGCCTTCTTAAAAGACTCTTCCTTGATTTTTCTTGTTACTAAGTTATCTCCTTCCCTCACAACCATGTTTCTTTGAAGAACTGTTTGTATTCATGCTCTTTCCTATTTCTCATTAATGCGCTGATTCACTACACTATGGTCAGAGTAACGTGCGCCACGGTTGTGCCTCGGTTTCCTCATCTGTAAATTGGGGATAATAGTATCTACTTCATAGGACTGTGGGAGTAAGTTAATTATTATATGCAAAGCACTAAGGACACATACTAACCACTCAGTGTTAACTGTAATTACTATTATTATAATACTTATTTCTTAATTACATAGATTCTTGCAAACTTACTGTGATTCCTTGTTTTCAGAATTAACCATGAATCCTATGTACAGCCAGCCACAGACTTTTAACCCACAACTGGACAAAAAACCCTACGTGCTCAGTAACTGCTCTGTTTATAATTAAAAACAAAAAAAGGTACATAATGCTAGTCTTACCTAATAAAAACGAATTGTAGTTTATGAGAGAAGACAAAAAAAAATCACCAGCGGTCTCCGGGTCTCCTAGGAGACGGGGTCTGACGTCACCTGAGCGAGGGACGCCCGTCAGCCCTGCTGCGCATGCCCGCTGCCTCCCCGGCTGAGCAAGGGCGCAGTGCGCATGCTCCCTTCCGGGTCAGCGGGTCAGCGCGTCTGTCACTGTAAATGGCGCTGGTGGCGGGAAAGTTGAGTGCTCGGTGCGCCCAGCCTTCGGGGCGATGAGTAGTGACTATCACAGGGCCGAGTCTGGGACGGAGGTGAGAGCTGCCGGGACGGAAGCGAGGGAGATGAGAACGGGGCGGTGGGCGGGCGTGGGACCTGGGAGGGCGGGGGAAGGGGGGCGGGGCGCCCTGGCCGGGAGCGCGCGGCGCCCTCGGCGGAGGGAAGGCGAGCGGGGCGGGACTCTAGCCTCCCCTCCGGCCGCCCCCTCCCGCCTTTGCCCCCCGGGGCGGGCTCCCAAGACCGGAAGTCCCCTGAGGTGGGAGGGCTGACGCGCGCGCTCCGAGGCGGAGATGGGCACTCCAGCTGCGCGCACGGTGAGGTGTGCCATTCCTCGTCTCCCATCCCACTCTGCGCACGGATAGGTTAGGTGTGCCATTCCCGATCTCTCGCCGCGCGCACGGATAGATGTACAGTTCCTCCCCTCCCATCCCACTGCGCACACGGATAGGTGTGCCACTCCTCGTCTCCCATGCCACTGCGCGCATGGATAGGCGTGCCATTCCTGATCTCTCGTTGCACGCACGGATAGGTGTGCAGTTCCTCGTCTCCCATGCCACTGCGCACACGGATAGGTGTGCCATTCCTCATATCCCATGCCACTGCGCGCATGGATAGGCGTGCCATTCCTGATCTCTCGTTGCACGCACGGATAGGCGTGCCATTCCTCGTCTCCCATGCCACTGCGCACACGGATAGGTGTGCCATTCCTCATATCCCATGCCACTGCGCGCATGGATAGGCGTGCCATTCCTGATCTCTCGTTGCACGCACGGATAGGCGTGCCATTCCTCGTCTCCCATGCCACTGCGCGCATGGATAGGCGTGCCATTCCTGATCTCTCGTTGCACGCACGGATAGGTGTGCAGTTCCTCGTCTCCCATGCCACTGCGCGCATGGATAGGCGTGCCATTCCTGATCTCTCGTTGCACGCACGCATAGGTGTGCAGTTCCTCGTCTCCCATGCCACTGCGCGCATGGATAGGCGTGCCATTCCTGATCTCTCGTTGCACGCACGCATAGGTGTGCAGTTCCTCGTCTCCCATGCCACTGCGCGCATGGATAGGCGTGCCATTCCTGATCTCCCGCTGCGCGCACGAATAGATGTGCTATTCCTGATCTGCTGCGCCAACGGATAGGTGTGCCATTCCTCATCTTCCATCCCACTGCGCGCACGGATAGGTGTGCCATTCCTCATCTCTGCTTGCAAGGTGCACGATCCAGAGCTGTCACATGTTAACTGCTGTTAGAAATAGTAAACCCGCAACAGAACCGAGGAAAAAGGGGGGATTGCCAGTTGGAGAATTTATAGCCGTTATCCAGGACAGGAGGTACTTGAGTAGGTTGCCTCCCCTTCGCCCTCTAGTTCCTATGTCTCTGCTTATGGCATCAAGCCCTGGCCGGCCCCGTTTGCATTTCCAGCTTAAGTTCCTCCCAAACCATGCCAGTTCTTTGACGTCCTGCAAGAATTTATTCAGGAATTGAACCAAGAAGTGTCAAGTGCTTACTATGTGTCAACCACTGGTTAAGGAACTTGGAGTAAGAAGCAAAAGCAACAATTTCTGCCATCAAACTAGGAAGGGAGGGTGACTTTAAAGAAATGCAGCCTGTATGCTAGAGCATGCTGTCTAGTAGAAGGGCAGGTATCACAAGCTAGTTAGGAGGAGGCAATGACTGAAGTCTTAAGAACCTTGTGAAATATGTTAGGTAAGGAGGGGGTGGCAGTCAAAGCAGAGAGTAGCATTTAATGTGGGTTCTGCCTCAAGAGCAGAGGCCTTATTTAGGGGAACTGCAGGTAGATCTGTAGTTGGAACAAAGCTAGTGAGGGAGAGTGGGGTTGGGCAGGGAGACGTGAGAAATAGGTAGAGGTGGATTAGGAAGGATCTCTTATCCAGGTTGGGGAGAGAAGCAGTATTCTTAAGAGGAGTCAACAGACTCTTCCTGTGAAGGGCCAGAGGGTATTTAGGCTTTGCAGGCTAAGGGGTCTCTGTCAGAACTACTCAGTCCTGCAGTGAAGTCCTAATGTGAAGGCATCCATAGGGAGGTGAACAAGTTAGTATGGCTGTGTTCAATAAAACTTACTTTTAAACTTTTGGATTTGACCTGCTGGCCATAGTTTAGAGCCACTGCAGTTAAAACTTTACTTATTTAAATGATTATTTGAAACCAAGGTTAAACCCAGATGACTTTTGCAGTCAAAACAAGCCTAGTATCGGATCCCTGGGTGGCTCAGGGGTTTGGTGCCTCCCTTCGTCTCGGCGTGATCCTGGAGTCCCGGGATTGAGTCCCACATTGGGCTTCCTGCGTGGAGCCTGCTGCTCCCTCTGCCTGTGTCTCTGCCTCTCTCATGAATAAATAAATGAAATCTTTAAAACAAACAAACAAACAAGCCTAGTATCTTAAAAATGGGAGCCCAGCACAGCCCAGTCATTGAACAAAGAATTTAGCAACACATCCTTGACCTGCCAGGTCTGCATGGAGACTCTAAGCCGATTGCCTGGCTCATATTACCAGGACAGAGGGGTGAAGGGGAGGATAAGGCGCTGGGCCATAGGTGCTACTTTATTCTTTTTCCTTTTTGTTAAGAAAACCAGCTAAGTGAATCTCTCTTCCTTTAAGAGTTCTTGGATACTTGATGGCTAGCACTTAATTCGTTTGGACACAGTTTTCTTCCTTTGCACATTACTGCAGTACCTTATGGGTTCTACTTTGAGGCATCATGTTGAGGAAGATACTTGAAGTCACAAGCTAGCCCAAGAAACTGAAGTAAACTACTTTAAAATTTTAATTCACTAGAATTACAACTTTAAAAAACAGCAAATCATTCTCACATTTTGTGAGTATTAGGGAAAAGACATTTTATACAGGGTCCTCTAAGAAATTAAAGTTGCAAAAAAATATTTTAACAGATTCTAGAGATGGAATTATGGTAGACCAGGTAGCGAGTGGAAAACTTAATAATAATCCCTTGATTTAAAGATCCGCATTTGACTACAATTTAAAATAAAATAACCATTTTTTTTACCTTTTCTACTGTTAATCTTTATTTTTTACCCTGTTTATTCTTATTTATTTATTATTTATTTATTTATTTATTTATTTATTTATTTATTTATGATAGAGAGAGAGAGAGAGAGGCAGAGACACAGGCAGAGGGAGAAACAGGCTCCATGCCGGGAGCCTGACGCGGGACTCGATCCCAGGACTCCAGGATCGTGCCCTGGGCCAAAGGCAGGCGCGAAACCGCTGAGCCATCCAGGGATCCCCTACCCTGTTTATTCTTCTTAACACTTAGCACACCTGACATTTTATGTTGATTTAAGGGTCATAGAGCAGACTTTTCGCTGTCTGTTGAGTTTACTCCTTTACTCCTAGTGTTTAGAACAATATTTAGCCCATAGTAGGCACTCAGTAATTGTTTATTTAGTGGATAAATTTCGTATCTTTCTCTTCCCTCTCCCCTTGTTCTACCTTGCTTCATGTGTCATTGAGAAAACAAAAAATTTCACAGAAACTCCCTTAATTTTTCCTGTCTTTCTGTTACTGATTTGTAGTCTGTGCCCATCAGTGTTAAAAACATACTTTATATGATTTCAGTTCTTTTAAATTTGTTGAGGTTTGTTTTATGGCATAGAATGTGATCTGTCTTCTTAGAAGCAACTTCAGAGTACTTTGAGGTGTCTGAGTGGATCGATTGGTTAAGCATCTGACTCTTGGTTTTGGCTCACGTCATGATGTCAGGGTCCTAAGAATGAACTGCCCCCACACCCCCCACCCTCACCAGTCTCCATGCACAATTGGGAATCTGCTTGAGATTCTTTCCCCTTCCCTCTCCTGGTCTTCCCTACAGCATGCAGCATGTGTGCCTCAGTGCACACACAGTCTCCTTCTCAAATAAATCTTCTATTCATTTATTTATTCACAAGCGACAGAGAGGCAGAGACAGGCAGAGGGAAAAGCAGGCTCCATGCAGGGAGCCCAATGCAGGACTCGATCCTGGGACTCCCTGATCAGGCCCTGAGCTGAAGGCAGATGCCCAACCACTGAGCCACCCAGGCGTCTGAAATAATATCTTTTAAAAAAGAAAGTGCAACTTCTCCACTTAAATGCGGATTTCTTCCATTCCATTCCTCCTTAAGGACCTTACTGCTACAGGTGTTCCCACTCCTCTGGTCATTTTTCTGTCTTTTGTACTTTTAATCTTCTTTTCCACCAATCATTTCCATTGGTATCCTAACATAAAATAACTCCTTAGATGTCTATGCCCCATCCAGCCCCATTCTTTTACTCGGCACAGCAAAGTGTTTGTACTTTGTGTCTGCACATCTTTATCTCCCAGTCACTCTTTAACCCATAGTGATCAGGATTCTGTCTCCCACTGTACCACTAAAAATTCTCTTGTCAAGGTTATCAGCCAACTTTATGTTGCCAGATGCTCATTTCTGAGTGAGCATTTCTCATTTCTTTTAGACTCAAATATAGGAACACAACAGAATGTGTACTTCCTGTAGGCAAGCCGTTAGGAGGGAGGGAGGGAGGGAGGGGATGATCCATGCATGTCTAGTACCTGCTCTTGAAATAACACATTAGAAAATCTTCCCTGAGGAAGAGAATAGGAGAATATGCCAAGAGTGTTTCTCCAGCAGAGTTCCTCACATGCAAAGTGAGAATAAGTGTTCAGCCAACATTAAGCTCCTATAATTTTGATTTTGTGCTTTACTGTTTTTTTCTGGGACTGCATATATTTGATTTTTTTTATCTAAATGAAAATTTGAAGCAGTTTGGTATAAATTCTTGATGAAATCTGAAGAATGCATTTAATGGGATTATTAATTTGTGGGATAGCATATATTTAAAATTTAATCCTTACAAATTCTGCTAGAAATTATAATGCTGCTTACCCACCTTCAGAATGGCTAAAATCAACAACACAAGAAACAATGGTTGTTGGCCAGTATTTGGAGAAAAAGAAATACTCGTGCACTGTTGTTGGGAATGCAACTGGTGCAGCCACTGTGGAGAACAGTATGGAGGGTCA